AGTAATATAATAGTAACATAATAGCAAAATAATAGAACTGTTCTATTATTTTGCTATTATATTACTATTATATTACTTATATTGACAAACCTCCTATTATTTTACTATTATTATGCTGTTATACTGCTATTATGCTGCTATTATTTGGCAGATATAAGGTAGAATAATGGCAAATTTTTTTTGTTATTTACCTATTATTCACCTTTTATTTATTTGTTTAACCTGTGTATATGTAGCCTTAAATTTCAATAATATAAAGTTAATATTTGCCAAATAACTAATTAAGAAAACTAGTTTTTCACTTTATATTATTATAAAAAAAAAATAAAAAAAAATAAATAAAGATAAATTATAAAGAATAATAAAATAAAGAATAAAATAAAAAATAGTTTTAATTAATAATATTCAAAAAATAATAGTCAAAATATTATTTTATTAAAGAAATTTGAATTAAATAATAATTACAAGAAGCTTTTTATATATAAAAAAAGTAATTCTAAGAATTTTTAATAACTCTTCTTTTAGAAAGTCAAAAAGCTATTTTTTTTATAAATTTTAATCTAATAATTAATTAATTTTATAACTACCATGTTTTGTAATATCATTCTGAACTATATAAATATACAAAATGCATTAAAAATTAAAAAAGTCTATGTATATTTTACTAATAATGCTTGTATACAAATAATAAACCAATACTATATTTTTTATTTTTACTAATGCTTGATGCTTTATTATGCAATAACTTACATATTAACTAAAAATAAAATATATATTATTGTATAGCTTATATGTTCATTTACAAAACTCTTTATAATCATTTAATATTTAGAAGTTTTATTACAGATGTTGTTCTAAGCATAACTAAAAATAACTATAGTAGTATATAGAAAATATATATAGTAACACTATAATAAATATTGTATTATACTGTATGTTACTAAATAAAAGCTACCTTCAAATAAAAGCTACCCCTCACTTTTTGAATGCAAAAAATAAGAAAAATGAAAGAAATTGTTAGTTACCAAATAAAAGCTACTTCCAATTTCGAGTACCTTTATCCAAACCTAGAATTATAGTCTGAAACCAATAAAAATACTTTTTTTTTTTAGTATAATCAAATTTTAGTAAGAATTTATTTGAACCAGGCCATCAAATATACTATTAATAGGCAACTAATATACTGTATAGATTATGACTTTATTTAAACAATTTCCAATAAGATAATATAATTAAATATTTATTTCGCCTAATATATGCCTTCAGATTAGAAATAGGATTTTACTGATTTATATAGTTTCATGTATAAAAACTTTTGTTGAATGCAAATAGGTTATGGCAAAAAAATTGTCAAAATCACAAGATCAATGATCTTTGATAAATCATATATCAATATTATATAAAATCTATATAATTATATGGTATTAAAATTTGTAAAATTATTTGCATACTTTGTGTTGAAAGCAATTGTTTGATCTTGTGATCCCAACATTTTTTTGCCATAAGTAACCTATTATAAAAAAAGATAAAACTGCATAAGTCATTAATTCATACACATTTTTCTAGAAGTGATGTCAAATAAAATATTTTTATAATATAAATATTACATCATATAGTAATCATAATAGCAATTTTTATACTACTCAATTCTTCTTATAAAGAATTGAGTGGCATAAAAATTATTACTCTGATTACTGGATCATAATTTATTTCTATACTTACTTTATATTATATATTCACAAACTTATGATATTTTGCAATAAAGCATAATCATTAAACTTTATTAGACAGCTATAAAAGCTTTGAATCATACATTCTTAATTTATTGTAAAAAGAAGAACATCCTCATTTTCTTTAATCATTGCATTATCATTTTTTTTATTCTCAAAATCCTCCTCATTTTCACCAGAATCACCAGAATCACCAGAATCCATATCAGGATTATTTTCATTAGCTTTATTCATTTTATTATCAAGGATTTTATTATGATATATCTCACTATTCTCTGATCCATTTATAGCATTAGAAATAGAGCACTTGCAAAAGGCATGACGAATAATCTCAGGATCAATTTCTGCCCATGTGATAAGCACCCATTCACAAACTATATGTAGTTCAGTGTGTTTAAGGTTTCCTTTTTTAGTTTTGCCAGACCCACCATTTATCATCCATTTATGCCAGTGGTTACAAAATGCTACTTTGAAGGGATAGTTAATTGAAACATCAAGCAGTTGGCATACAGAAGTTAACCTACTAGGAATTACAACAAGGTCATTGTTATTCTCTTGAAGCTTCTTTTTAACTGCATCAGTAATATGTGCTCTGAATAAATCAAAGACAAGAAGAGAGAATTCATTTTCCTAACTACCTGAATAATCTTCTATATAGTTATTGGCCCATGACAACATATCAGGTTCATCTATCCAATCTTTTTCATGAAAAAAAACAATTACACCAGGAGGAGGAGAAGCCTTAGTCTTAGCCCATCTTTGATCCTTGAATATAACTATGAGCAAAAGCTTTTGTTCATTAGCAAAGCATGTTAGAACTACAGTAAAGCAATTCTTCTCATTACCAGTTGTACATATATAGATTGTTTTGGCACCAATTTATTCAACAGTCAGATCACCAGCCATGTCAAACCAGATGGGGGTTTTGTCCATATTTGTGATGTTGCTCAAGGGGTAGTTTCTCTTAAGGCATAACTGAATTACATATCATTGAAAATTGAGCAATTGCTACTCAAGATCAATAGGCAATTTTTGTGCTATTTTTGTTTTACAGTGTAAGGCAAGATTATAGCATTTTAAAAAACATTTTAACCACATTGAGAAGGCCTTGAAGTTACTTGCAAGTTGTTTTTTTTTGAGATCATTACTTTTTGATGCTATTTCAGAGATGATTCTTAACATTTCAAACTTGAGACTATTGTATATTATAGCAAGTGCTGCATTATACATTTCAGATATCCACCTATAAAGCTGCACTTCTTTGTCAAGAAAAAAACTTTTTCTATCACCACCTTCAAGACAATGGAATTTGCTATGATCAACCTCATCAAGTTTACCCTTTAACTTCATTACCCAATGACCAACTTAAGTCTTATCTAAATCAAACTTGGCAGCAGCTCTAAGATTGCCTTTATGAAGAGCATACTGAACAACATTGGCTTTCTCTTTAAAGATATAAGACTGATGAACCTTCTTGATATTTTCCTGAGGCATTTTAAAAAAAATTGACTAATTTTTTTTTCTTGATTATAACCACTTTATTTATATTAGGTTAGATAAGGTAAGCATCAGTATGATTTTTAATCATTATGCATATAACTTCCATTTTTATAACAGTTTCTAACATTATTTGATTCGATATTGATGATATATCATTTCACAAACATTTTCCGACTTAGAACCATTCCACAAAGACTTTTATTTCAATTGTTTTTTTTTTTTCTTTCTTCCCCCTCCTGATGATAATTTGTTTGAATATTGTTCATTGTATATGCCTGAGTAACCTTTATAACTAATATCTGTAATTTTAATAAAATAAATAATGCTTGTTCTATAATTTTGATACAATAATATTTTCTTAAGAAACTGACTTGAATAACAGCTTTGGAAAAATAATTTTAAAAAGACTGAGTTTGTTTTTTAAAAAACACATTCTTATTAGTTTTGTGTTATGTAAATATTTGATTGGTTCACTTAATAATACTGGTATAATATAATTCTGCACCAAAGATGATTTTAAAAAGGCATGTAAATAAGCATCTATATCATTGTTCATTTCATGCAAAAATACAACTTGAAACGTAGAAAGATCTACATTATGAAATGTCTTATATATGCTTTATATTTCTTGTTATTTGATTGGTGCTAATCTAATATGTGATTTTGGTAGATTTTGATTTTGGACTCGAATAAAAGCTACCCTTACGATTTAGCCCAAAAAAATCGAAAGTTTTTTGGTAGCTTCTATTCAGTAATATACAGTAATTAATAAATATTAATTAACTATAATTAAACTAATTGTTTCATTATTTTAGAGAGTTTTGAAGCACCTGAGACATTAAACATGATCTGAGTATTTTGGTCAGAGTTTTTGTAATGTTAACTAAATATTATTTTAGATATTCAAATAACTATTAGCTAGAATTAAATACTATAAGAAATCTACTAATAAAATAAATATTTTTTTTTTTTTTTTTTTTTTTTTTTTTTGGAGTTAAGGTGAGGTCATGCCTCAGATCTGTTTATTCGAACATATTGTTACAGTTTGTACAACTTTTTACATTATACATTATCTATTA